GGCAGCCACAGCTTCTCTGGGCAACCTGGTCCAGTGCCTCAGCACCCTCAGAGGGAAGAATTTCTTCCTTAGATCCCATCGAAATCTCCCCTCTTTCACTTCAAAGCCATCACCCCGTGTTCTGTCACTCCACGCCCTTGTCCAAAGCCCCTCTCCAGCTTTCCTGGAGCCCCTTTAGGCACTGGGAGGTGCTGGAAGGGCTCCCTGGAGCCTTCTCTTCTCCAGGCTGAACAGCCCCAACTCTCCCAGCTTGTCTCCAGAGCAGAGGTGCTCCAGCCCTCGGATCATCTCTGTGACCTCCTCTGGACTCGCTCCAGCAGCTCCATGTCCTTCTTGTGCTGGGGCCCCCAGAGCTGAATGCAGCACTGCAGGGGGGTCTCAGGAGGGAAGTTCATTACATCCTGCCTGCCTCCAGGCCTCCTGGAGTTTTGGGAAGGCCTCCTTGCATTCCGTGGTGTTAGGGGGCTACGCCATGGGCTGTCCGTTAGACCCACGTGTTCTAACTGACCTCAAGCATCCAGTGCCAGCAGCAAACGGCTGGACGTGGTGAGCTGGTGCGTTATGGCAGCAGCTCAGCTCCGCCTGACGTGCGTGGGACCAGTCGCTGTGCAAGGTTGGTGCTCTCTGGTTGCTCCACATCCCTGTTGTCCCCAGGCGTCCCAGCGGCATCCCGGAAGAGGACATTCGCAGCGCCGTGGTGCCGTACCTCCTCAAGCACAGGTCCTACTTGAGGAAAGTCCTGAAGGAGAAGGAGGAGGAGAACCGGACGGTCGCGGAGTCTGTGCTTGCGGGGAGGGACAGGATTGCAGAGCTGCAGCAGCTGATACAAGCTCGCAAACGTGCCTGGCAGGTAAAAATAGAAAATAAACAAATCAAATCCCTTCTCTGCGCAGCAGCAGCCCGCAGGAAACACCGTTCTGTGGCCCGACTGGCAAATGGCTGCGCTGTGTTTCAGCCCTCCACTGGCCAAAGGCCTCACCGGGAGCCCAGTGCTGCTGGGATGGGTCTGAGCGTTTTCACTGGAGGTCTTGGGTGTTCTTCCCCGTGCACTGGGTGGGATGTTTCCGTGGGGGAGCCCATGGGATGAGTGGGTTGTGTTCCACACGTGCTGTTCCATCAGCGCCGTGTCCCGAGCGCTGGTGTCTGTGGAGAGAAGCGCTTTGCTGACTTCCAGGCCGTTGTTTTCCAGGCAATTAGCAAAGAGCAGCGAGAACTCGTCACGATGTTCCAGGTGCCCCAGTGAGGGCACGGGGAGATTCCGCACGCTTTCCCTGGGGGGGGTTCATCCTCATCTCGGAAACACCGACGGCACGTTGGGAAGTGGGACTCTGCACGCAGCGTGTACAAACCACACGGACTCGTTTTCCAGTGGGGCTGAAAAGCTGCTGGACTCGTGAAATTTGATCAAAGTTTGTGACAAAATAAAAAAAGGACACATCCGGATCTTTGGAAGTAGATGGCAATTTCCTATTCCCCGCTCAGCCCACCAGGGAGGAGCATCCTGCAGGTCTGATACCCGGAGCATGCTGGAGCTGCTCTGGAGCTGTGCTGGCCATGATTTGGCTTCTTCAGGCCAAACTGGTGGCCTTGAAGGTAGTTCAGATAAGCACAAGAGGAAAAACGGTGCCATTTTTTCCGCAGGAATGAGGAGCCAGGGAGCTGGAGCACACACAACCCACGATTGGGTGTGCCCATTTATTACCATTTATCCTTTTTTCCCAGTTATTTTCCAGCCCTGCTCCCCTCCCAGCAGATACCACACAGAGGGTGCCTCTCTGAGGACAGCAGTGTGGCAGATCCAGGGCTGTGCCATTCCAGGGCATCCAGGGACGGGCAGAGGTTTGGGTGGCCCCACCTTGACTTGGAGAGCTGGGGGCAAAGGGATTAAAGTTTTCCCGTGAAAACCTCGCGTCGACTCTCGGAACCAAACTGGGTTTGGTTTTACCCATCGGGGGTTGCCCTTTACCGTCTCGCTGGAAGTTTGCCAGCCAGGAAAGCGGGCACTCACTGGAATCTGGGGTGTCAGTGAAGCCCCAAGTTGGATGTGTCTTCAAAATGAGGGAAAGGTCCTTCCTCTGTGTGGGCGGATAATGGGGCGAGTTCGGCTGAGCCTGCAAGGACTCAGTGGGAATGTTTCCAGCAGAGGCAGGTCCTCTGCTCACCAGCCTCCTCCTCCTCACCTGTTGTGCCCTTAGTGCCACCGTGCCCTGTGTGGTGAGGAAATCCAAACTCTGACAACAGTGGCTGTTTCCACCACCCACACAGTTAAAGGCAGCCAGGGCCGCGATTGTCGCAGGCATATTTTCCTTCTGCCCTAAACAAGCCTTCCCTCGCCGCGTCGTAATCTAAATAACTCGGAGCTGTTGTTCCCCAGTCTTGGCTCCCGCTGGGCACGCTTGGCACCGGTACTCTGTACTTTATGGCTTCGTTTGACAAAGGCTCCGGCTTCAGCACTTCGTTCCTCCTCCGCCCCAAAGCCTCCAGTTCCGCTTTTCAAGACAGGGCTGGGATTTATAGGATCTGGGAGTCTGGAAAGTGGTCAGGATCCCAAAGAGGAATGTCACCCCAGGCGGCCCTGGGAGCTCCCGCTGCTCCGAGCCCACCAGGAGCAAATCCTGGAGGTGGGCGAGCGCCCTGAGCGCCGCTGGGGGCTGGTGGGGAGCGGGAAGCAGAAGGATGGATGGACAAGAGATGCTGCTTCTCCAGCTGCTCCACTCCCCGTCACCTCAGGGCCTGAGCCACACCAGCAGCACGTTTTTTTTCTTGCAAATCCCTGTTTTCGGGTTTTAGGAGGTGCTGGAGCTCTTCCTGAGGTCCTGTCTCAGAACAGGTGCCACCTGGGGGCCCAGCCTTGGCGCACAGCGTCTGCCCGTGGGATGCGACATGGGACTGCGGCGTGGAGCCCAACGACAAGGGCGCCTGTTTGCCCTCCTCTCCTGGGTCACGGCAGTCAG